TTCTTTGTCATACGCCTCATGGTTATATACTGGGCTAATGACACTTTCTTGTAAAAATTCGTAAGTCAGGGGTGTTTTTCCAAAAACTAATTCAAAAGGGCAATAGCCGTGAACTGTGTATGGTGTCGTATTGTAGCAATACGAAAAATATCTGAGATACTCATCCCAATCAGTTTTGTCAATGGATATGTAAGTACGCATGTATTCATTAAATGTTCTATGACTGCGTTCGACAGTGCCCAGCGTTTGATGGTGATAAGGTGTTGAGGTTTTATGCTCAATTTTGAGAAGTTTGCACAGTTCCTCAAATAAACTGTTTTCATATTCGGTTCCCATATCCGTTATGATTGTTTTCATACAACCATAAATCAGAATGAAATGCTCGAATACAGCTTTAGCCACTGCTACAGCATGTTTGCTCTGAACTGGCACTGTAACTAGGTATTTAGTTAAGTCACATATAATAGTAACAGCGTATTCATTTCCGTGTATCGATTTCGGTAATGGTCCGATTGTATCGATTTGTACAATATCAAAGGCCTTCGGAGGTGTCTCCGTTATTGTCATTGGTTCCTTGATATGTCTATTAATTTTATTTGTTTTACCATGGATGCAATTTTTCACGTATTTTTTTATGTCACTTTTCATGTTTTTCCAGCTGAACTTCTGTTTGATCTTGTTTGTCATGCGATTTATTCCTGGGTGGCCACCAAAAACAGGATCGTCATGATATTTATGCATAATTTCTTTAATTTTGTCGACATTTGTCACATGCATAACTTCTGGGGTTAATGCAATTGTTAAATTTTTGAGAACCTTGGTACCTTCTTCTATAAATTTGCCTACTCGAGTATAATTATATTTAAACAATTTGTCCCCTAAGGACAACTGTATCTTTACAAGTCCTAGATTGCCGGCTTGTTTTGCAAGCCTGGTAAAGAATTGTCCTAAGTCAATCTTATCCTCAACAATTAGGTTGCTTGTATCTATAGTGCTACAAATTTTCTTTCCTTTTTTGAAATATAATTTCGGAGGATCGAAAACGAGCTCGACATGTCTTTTTACTTCAAATTTATTTAGCGCTTCATATATTATAGGGTTCTCTTTGTGACTTTTAATTTCTTTTTTGCTATTATTATTACTGGCTGGTTTTCTAATTTCTGATCTTCTGGTAACTTTTAGTATTTTGCTTGCTTCCACTGACATTTCTTTAAGGTTTGTAATATTGATTCGGGATAGTGCGTCTGCTACATAATTTTCTTTTCCTGCTATGTACTCCACTTCAAGGTCATATTCTTCCAAATCTAATCTAACTCTTGTTAATTTTGATGAGGGGCTCTTCATCGAGAAAAGGTATGTTAAAGGTCGATGGTCCTTTTTAATTAAAAATTTTCTGCCATAAACGTATGGTCTGAAATAAGTTATGGCCCAATGAAATGCGGCTAATTCTTTTTCTATTGTTGCTTTATAAATTTCACCTTTTGTGAATGATATGGAGGCATAGGCAATTGGTAAATGTTTTCCTTCATGTTCCTGACTAAGAACTGCACCACAAGCATAACCACTAGCATCTGTTGTTATACAAAATTCTTTACTGAAATCTGGATATTGTAAAATATTTGGACTAATTAATGCCTTCTTCAAATATTCAAAAGCATTTTGGCATTCTTCTGTCCAATCGTAGGGAACATTCTTCTTGCAAAGTCTAGTTAAAATTCTTGAATGTTCTGCGAAATTTGGTACGAATCTTCGGTAATAATTACAGAATGCAACGAATCGTTTGACTTCTTCCGCATCTTGGGGTGTTGGGTAATTTTGAACAATTTCGAATTTATTTGGATCTGGTAGGATTCCTTTACTTGTGCACTGGTGTCCCAGATAGGTAACTTCTTGACTAAAAAATAAACATTTATCGGGATGCAGCTTTAAATTATATTTTCTGCAAGTTGAGAATACATCTTGTAAATTTTTCATCATGTGGTTTTCGGAACAACCTAATACTACTAAATCATCCATGTATAAAAATGCTTGTGAAGGTTTAAGACCAGCGAATGCTAAAGTCATCATTCTTTGGAACGAATTGGGGGCTACTTTTAGGCCATATGGTAATCTTTTAAATCGGTATGTACCATCGTCTGCTGTAAACGATGTTATCTCTGGAGTCTGAGTCTAATTCTATTTGGTGAAAACCTGACATTAGGTCCAGGCATGAAAAATATTTTGCTCTTCCTAATTGATCTAGAATGTCGTCGATTCTTGGAAGAGGAAATTTATCTGCTGCTAATTTTTTATTTACCTGTCTATAACCAATGACTAATCTCCATCTTTTTTCTGTATTTCCTGGTAATGACTTTTTGGGTACTAATAAAATTGGGCTGTTGTATTCTGACATAGATGGTTCTATTATATCATCTTTGATTAATTTGTTGACTTGTTTACTTATTTCACCTTTGTGTGCTTGTGGTAATCTGTAATTTTTTATATAGACTGGGTTGTCATCTTTCATACGTAATTTTTGTTTATAAAAATTATTAGAAGATATGGGTTCTGCTTCTGATGCAAATATGTCTATGTATTCTGAACATAATGTCGTTAATTGTTGGCTAGCAAATTGTGGGAAATTCTTAACTAATCTTTTTATTTTTTCTTTGTTATTATTTTTATTTTCTGTTGTTTCTTGGATTAACATGTAATTATTTAAATTTTCTGTTTTGATATTGTAATTCTGAATACTTGCGTTTTTATCTGTGGTATTAATGATTCTAACAAAAGTTTGGTCTTTATTTGTAATTGTATTTGCTATGAAAATACCTTCAGCCAATTTTTGATGGGGAATAAAAAGTGCCGAATTATTAGTTTTTACGTTGATTTGCCGAATTACTTCAGACCTAGCGGGGATTGTAATTGTATTAATAGCTGGTCTATTTGTCATATGGATTATTATATTTTCTGGAAAATCATAAGGTCTCATAATTAATCTGTCTTCATTTTTGCCATAATCTAGAATGCAATTATATTTCTTTATAAAATCTAAACCTATAATTCCATCACACGGGATTGGGAAATTGTCTTCTACTATGTGAAATTTGTGTTTAATTAATTAGATCTTCTCCTTTCAAGTCTGTTGTGACCGTACCTAGTGTGCTTGTTATTCCTTGACCAATGCCTTTCAAATCAGTAATTTGTGAAGTATTAATGGTGATATTGCTATCAATTTTTCCTTTTTTATAATAGATATATTTGCTCCTGTGTCTATCAAGAGAGTTGAAATAGTGTTATTTAGAGAAGTTTTGGAAGATATGTAGCTGTTTAGGTGTAAATTAAGTACACGTACTCTTTTGTTATTTACTGTTGAAGTGGAGTTTGCTGGTTTTCCTGCTGGGTGCAATTACGTACATTGCGAGTCTGTATAAAATTTCTGTTTCTGTTTTGAGTTGATGATCCTCTTTGCGAGTTGTTATTTTGTCTAAAATTGTTGTTGTATCGGGGCTGTGGTCTAAATCTTCTACCTTGATAACTTCCGTAGCTGTTATTTCGGTAACCACCACGAAAATTACCACGGTATTGATTTTGCTGGCGTATGCTCAGGATTGTATTTGAACTACCCGTTATCTCTGTGCCGCTATTGGTGAATTTAGAGATGGCATCATTCATTGATGTAAATGTGCCAGCTTGCATTATCATTTTTACTTTTTCGTTGGAGCAATTCTTGCACATAGCTTTGACCGCCGCCTGTGTTGAATATCTGGTGGCTAAGTCTGGGTTTAGTCCATCCGAGATATATGCTCCTTCTAGTGACCTGGTAATTTTTTCTATTTCTGTAGTACAGTATATTTTGCTTTGCTGCCATTATTTGGTTCCGCAGGGAATCGGATACCTTCCTTCTTGAAGTAGTAAAGAAAATTCTCTTAAGTGCCTTTTTCGGTTAGGTGCACAAGTTTTTCGTGCAAAGAAGGATGTGCAGCTAAGCAAAATATACTGATACTGATTTGCGGTTTTACTACGTTGTTGTACGTTCAGGAGTTTTGCTGTCAAAACTTCTACTGATTCGCCTTTAATATTAGATTTCAATTTTGACTTAATTTCTTGAATTGAATTTTCATTACTTATGTAATTTCTTGCTGTACCTTTTAGCTTGGTTTTTATCATAGTTATCGCCAGGGCTTCGTGATTATCTTTGATTTGTTCCAAGATATCAAGAGCGTCTAGAAAGCTGTGCAGATTTTCTGGCTTACCATCAAACTCTGGTAGCACTGATGAGGCTGTCTTAATGAATTCTACTGTTGATTGTGCCATTTTGACGTTTCCTATTTGCAAAGTTTTTGTTTGATTTTCAATTTTCTTGTCTTCTTCTAAATCGGCTAAATCCTCCAATAGGAAGATATTGAAGTCTATTTGTATTTCTTGTTCGAATGAGGTTGGGATGGTTACCTCAATATTATATCTTGCTAGTGAGGATACTAATTTGTCTCTAACAGTTGAAAATATTTGGTTTGCTTCTATTTGGTGACTGCTAGTTAATTGGTTATTACGTATGGCCTTTCCTAATTTATTCAGTGAATCTAATATTGTCGTGAGGTGCTTCAACACAGTTTCATTTTTATGTTTTTATTTATACACTTGTAGGATTTTTCTGCGGAAGCTTTTTCTTCTATAAGTGTCTGATAAAGTTCTTCCCATTTGCCCATTTATTGCAATGCTGACAGGGAAGCGAGCGTAAAATTGAAGTTTTAGATACGCTCTAGGACGTTATTTAGTCTTCTTAATTTGTTTTTAATATACATAACTCTTCAATTTTAGGGCTACTGCGATGATCAATAGCATGAGTATGCAAGCGAAACCACTTAACCAAATATCTGGATTATTTGAAACTTTGTTGGTTTCTACCTCCGCCGGTGGTTCGTATCTAACTATCCTATTGTCTGTGTTTTCTGATGTTTCCTTTCCTATTTCATATCCCGCAATGGCTATCAGAATGTTATTTGCTATCTTTTACCACCACGACATTTTGCATAGAATAAGAAAAGTTTTCGGAAATTAAAATTTTAAATTTTTAAATTTTATTTATTTATTTATTGCTCAATTAATGCCTATTTGGAAAATATTTTTCTAACATTAACATTATTTCTTTCTCTTGGGTTGATGGATTTTTTACGTCTTCCATGGTAGGTTCTCTGTCCATACCAATGGAATTCCAAAATTCCCTTAACCAAATTAATTCCCTTTCATAATCTCTAGTTTCTAGTTCTAATGTTGCATTTTCATCCCACTTGATGGGATTTTTTGTAAAATCTTTTGGCATTCCAATTTGCTTTTAATTTTTATTTCTCTTCTCTTAAATTTCTAATTAATTTTCTTAGATTAAGTCTTTCTTCGGTATCTGTTGAAAGATTTAACAATCTATAAGTTTCGGCTATTTGTTTCTTTTTTTTGAACTGTTTGCCTCCCCGCTTTTGTTTCTGTCTTTTTACCGGGGTAGGTATTTTAATATTTCTTTTTTGTTAAGCTTATTCCTACGCCGATATTCTTCTATGGTTATCGGTATCGGGCCTTGTTTCACCACTGTGGAGGTGCTGAGGACCTCTTCAGTGTCTTTTATTAAAGCTTTTAATTTTTCTTCGTACTTTTCGAAGATTTCATGAAATTGTTTTTCAGTTATGTCTGACATAACTGAAAAATAGCTGAAACTTATATATTTTTTTTCAAATTTTCTTAATTTACGGAAAAAAAATTCCTAAGCAGAAACCAAAGGATTTCTGCTACTTGTTTAGCTACCGTGAGGTTCGCCAAATTTCATTCTACTTATACTAGATTAGTATTCTACCCTGTTTCGTGCTGCAAGTCATTTAGTGTCATGGTTAAACGGATCCCTGTGGAGTTGGGTACTAGGCTTTTTGCTGTTTTGGGAACTAGCAGGATATTTTGTCTGCCGGGATATTTCGACAGCCGTTTGTGGCAAATTGTTTCTTAAATTCTGCTTGGCAGGATCGAAAATTTATCCATACGTTAAAAAATTTATAGTTGAATTGGCAGGACCGTGTAATTTCTATTTATGCCATTTAATGTTCTTTAGCAGTCTGCTTTAAAAGAGCAGTCTGCTTTAAAAGAGCAGTCTGCTTATTTTGAACAGAACTGGCAGGATCGCCATGTAAAGTTTTTAATAATTAATAATTCGTGTCGTTCGTTTCTGAGGTCAGACAGAAATTGAATTCTTTATTTCAAAAGTACTTTCTTTTATACAAATGTTATTGATACCTAATTACACTAATACTTACAAACTAAATGTACATAATTTCATATATGCAAGTCAGCATATTTCAGTGACGTACATATGTACTTTTGTGTGTTGCAATCTATTTGTCGGTCGACGCGA